TTGAAATTCTGTCATATTTTAAATTGTTGGATGCTTTAAAGATTTAGCATGTGCTCAGAAAGTATTGCTGACAAATGCCTCCGTTCACGTGAAGCTAAGCTTCAGAAGAACTGTCATCTCAGTTCTGTGTAGGCAGGCATCACTGATGTCTCCCAAAAGATGTTCAGGGGATGAATTAAGCCACACAAGTAAGATGAACTAACAGTGCAGGTAAAACCTTTCAGTGATGAGCTATGGGTAACTTCAAGCAAACTAAAAAGGGTAAAAGCAAGCAGTGTTAGAATTTGCTTTGATTTGCTTTAGTGGGTTCCTATATGCTGCTGGAGTTCAAATTAGGCTGGGAGCCACTGGGCTAGGCTTTCTATTTCACATTTAAATAACTTATATAACTATATTCAGTCTTAAAATCACTTTAATTACTTAGCTTAGAGGCTCAACTAAGTAAGCATTCAAGAGCTTCTAAACCTCTTCTAATGCTTTCCAAGTCTTAGGTGCAAAATTATTTGCTAGCTCTTGTGTTAGGTACAATAGAACTACACTTGGAATAGTCTCCCAGTTCATTAAATATTGCATTTAACAGCTGAGTACTCTACACAGGTACTACGGGATGGCATGATAACATTGGACTCTGAAACAGAAATTGCTGTCTAATCATTAATTATTTGTAATTGTCTGTAATTATTTTGAGCAGGAGTGATGAATTTTTGACAAAAGTCAGTCCCATGTGAATGTTTTTAGAATCTTTAGTTTTTGTGGTGCACTAGAGGAAACAACTCAGAGCCAGGTGCAGGCTAGGCAAGTGCTGTCTGTCGATGGCGCTTCATCCCTAGCCCTACATTGTAATATTGTTTTGTTCAAGACCTTAGGTCATACTCACTAAGCTGGGTATAGTTGGTTTGCGTTTAAGGATAGCAATCATAAACTTAATTACTATTCTCAGTAATTTTAAGCTGAATGAACCTGCTGTGTATAAAGCATCTTATAAAAGTAGCTGGATTAATTCAAAAGCAAGTTTCTACCCATATCTAGATATATACCTGCATTTTTCTAGAGCTGCAAAACTTCTGCAGTCTTAGAGTTAACTTGTTAGTGTATACACATCAGGCTAGATTAATGGGAATACAGGGGTTTGTGAATCATTGTTACCCAGTTTTGTGATAAATTACTGCTGCTTGTCAGCAGCAGCTTAGTCACAGGCCTGTCTGAGAAAGTCAAATGATTCTAGTAACTAGGCTGTGGACAAATTAAGACAATCAATAGCATGACAGCTTCTAGTTTATGGTATGCAATCAAGTTTTATCCATTAATATTAACAGTAAAAGCATCATCAGAAATGGTGGTGTTATGAATTGAACAGAACTCCCAAAAATATCCAAAGCCTATTCTAGGAACCTGTCACTCTGTTACCTGTTATGGCAAAGGGGCTTTATGTAGGTAATTAAGGATCTTAAGATGGGGTAAGTCTTGCTCTATTATTATAACAATACCTGAGGCATGGTAATATCTAAATGAAAATTTTATGTAGCTCAAGACCCAAGAGGCTTCATCTGACAAAGGCCTTGTGTACTGTTATACAATAGAAAAGCAAAAGGGCAAATGGACATGTGTAAAGAGAAGAGGGCCGCAGACTGCAAGACTGCGTTGATAACCACACTTGTGAATGAAGCAGCCTGTTCTTTGGGGCTGTGTCCCATCATGCAAACTTTACCTTACTAGGCCTTGCCTCTTAACCCTACCACTTTGAGGACTAAATGTTGATGGAAGTTCTAGTGTGGAAAAGCCATATTCAGATTAAAGCAGATTATCCATTTAAACCTAATGTCAGCAAAAGAGTGCTTTGAAAGATGTTTTATATGCATGGCTGCCAGCCTACATGTGCACCACATGCATGCCTAGTACCTGCAGAAGGCAGAAGAGCACTGGATCACTGGAGCTAGAGTAAAAGATGGTTGGGAGTTACCCTGTGAGTGCAGGGAACTGAACCTGGATCCTCTGCAGAACCACCAGGTTTTCTTAACTGCTAAGCCATCTCCAGCCCCACAACAAGAATACCTCTAAAAAGGCAAGGGTCGGAGAGAAATTGAGAAGATACTATGTTGCTGGCTTCAAAGAAAAGCCAAGGAATACAGATGGCCTCTAGAAGCCAGAACATGAAAGGAAATAGATACCTCTTACAATGGCTATGCCAATGCCTTGATTTTTAAGACTAGCCTCCAGAACCGAAAGGTAACATATTACTGGTGGCTTTGTCACTAATACGGTACAGAGTAGCAATGAGTAGCTAGTGTAAGTAATAACAATTGAATAACCATCAGCAAACTTCAGTATAAATTGATAATTAAAATGTTCTCGAAATCTGAAATCTTTCCAATGCTTGTTGAAATTTTAAAGGCAACGTGAAGTTCTAAGTAACAAGTGGCAGTTGGCTGTGGAATTTACAGTGTAGGCTCTTGCCATCTATACCATATACAACTCTCATGCTTTCTGTGAAATTGAGCCCAAGAATTAGTTTGATATGCTATTTGATATGCATGAATACTCTTTACAACTTTTACCTCTAGCTCTTATTACAGTAGTGTTCCTAATTATAGGAAAGCATTCTTTTCAAAATATCTGTTTTTTCTTCCCTGCTCGTCCCATAATAGACCAATCTAATGAAAAGTGATGGCCTTAGGAAACCCAACCTTCTATGGCTGGCCTTATTTTGAAGACATGCCACAATGCTTATATTTTCATTGAGCGGGTAGTGGAGGTTCAGGAGACTACTGTGAACAGGCATCTGCCTCCACACTGGCACACCTTCCTTTTGGAGGGCAATCCTATCCCTGCTGTTCTGGTTCAACAGAAACTTACCATCGGGAGGCAGAATAGGTGAAGAACCAACTGGATCCAGGGTTGTTACTGGGGTGCCAAATGAGTGGTAAAATTCCCTTACTTTGACTTCTTTATCACAGAATGACTCAAAGCCAAAGGAAGCCAACAGAAGACTCTTAGGATCCCCAACCCCACCTTTTTAGAATTAGTGTGAACAGTACTGTGGTCTCCCAGATGTAACAAAGCAAAGAGGATTCTCTAAGAACAATGTGGCCAACAGGATGAAAGGGAAGGAACAATACAGGAACCACATAAATAGCCAGGCTTGAAGATCAGCCCCAAATGAGCCCATTAAGCCTGTAGTTAATTAATTGGGTTGTGTGGAAGCGAGGCAGACAGGTAGGTGTGGGACATGGAGTTTGTTCTATCCTCTTGGTTACTTTTTTTTCTTATTTATTACAATTTATTCACTTTGTATCTGGCTGTAGGCCCCTCCCACATCATGTCTGGCTCTACCTTCCCTCCCACCCCACTCTGCCATGTTCCTTGCCTAGTCCACTGATAAGGGAGGTCCTCCTCCATACTATCTGACCCTAGCCTATTAGGTCCCATCAGGACTGTTTGGATCCTCATTCTCTGTGGCCTAGTTAGGCCACCTCACCAGAGGGAGGTGATCAAAGAGCAGGCAACTGGAGTCCATGTCAGAGACAGCCCCTGCTCCCCTTACTAGAGAACCCACGTGGAGACTGAGCTGCCCATGGGCTACATTTGAGCAGGGGATCTAGGTCCTCTCTATACATGGTCCTTGGTTGATTCATCAGTCTCTGCAGGGCCTCCTGAGCCTTTTGAGTAGCTATAACCAAAATATCTTCTAGAGCAACATAAAGGATGTAAGGTGTGTTTTAATTTGTGGTTTCAAAATGCTCTATTGGTTTCACGTTCCTTAGTCTATAATAAGGTAGTACATGGTGGCAATGGGGGAAACAGAGGAGGCATCTCATACTCTATAGAAATGGGAGAGGGAAAAGGAGACCAGGATCCTCCCAAAGACCCCCTTCCCAGTGGCCTGCTTTCTCCAGCCGTGTCCTACCTCCTACAGTTTCCAGAACCTCCCAGGTGAGAACCAACCCCCTAACACGAGCCTTTGGGTGGGGGCCACTGCTCTTCATATCCAAACTCTGGATATAAGACTTTTTCAGGGGTGTTTAGTGAGCCAAAAACATTAGAAGAAAATAACTGACAGCCATGCATATGGAATCCCCAGATAAAGAAGTCTATGTGTGGACAGCTTTGTGTGGACATACATACACAACAGGGTGATTTGTATCCACCAAGTGTCACTACTTCATGGCCCCACCCAAATGAAGGAGCGATGACGGTCCCCTGGTTCAGCAGAATCAGCTCTCTCAACCCTCACTGGGAAGTGTGCTTCATGAAGTGATTCAAGGCACAGCACCACATTTTAAATTCTGTTTTAGACGGCTAGAATAACAATAATTTAATCGATTTGATCAAGATAAACTGCCATGCCAGAAAATTCTGGTAAGACGCAATGGACTTAATGTCAAATTGTACCATTTGTTCATTATGTGCCTTGGAACTCTCCCGTGCAGTGACTAAGTGCTGAGTCCAGGCCACATCCAGCTGATTAGATAGTACATAATAGGCATAGCTTAACTGAAGACCAGGATTGCCCTGTATTGTATTAGGTTGAGCTGGGATCAATTTTTATGTCTCGACTGTTGTTAAATCCTGGTCATTATTTGCTAGTTAAAATTTCTTTAAGCCAACTGAATCCTGTAATTCCAACTCTGAGGAGATTAAGAAAGGAGAATTGCCATGAGTTTGAATTCAACCAGTATGTAAAAAGACAGTCTCAAAACAACAACCAGTTTTCTTTAATCGTAAGGTTAAAGCTTTGCTGGCCACTATATATAAGCTTTACTAGCCTCTTCTGCCTCCTGTGTCATACCTGAAGACAACACACTTTCTTTGGGAGACAGGAGAATGGAGCACATAGTTTGAAACAATGAACAGAACTCTAAGTAAAATGTGAGCATGAAAATTTAATGTCATTGTACTACTTGGAAAAAGAGAACTAGAATTCTAGTCCCTAATGTTTTATGAGCTTTAGCCAAGTCACCCATCCACTCCAGGCTTCAGTTTCCTTATCTGAAAACTGAGTGGTACAGACATCTAAGGTAATTTCTACAATTCTAAGACAATTTCAGAAATAGTCGAGCTATAGCTTGAATATTGAGACCTTGGCCTTATGACGCAAGGAAAGTCATTTGATTCCAGGCTGAAGGACTCCAGAGAACTTCGGAAAAGGGGAGAGAAATAAAGTTGAAATTCAGAATTTCTCACAGGACTCTGACATATCTGCTGCCTCTTATAGCGTGTTCTTGTCAGTGAGTTCTAGAATCTCTATTTCCCCTCCTTTACCCCACTCTCTTGTCCCTTGCTCTTTTCTCTTCCCCTCTCCTCACTTCCACTACCTAGTGCCCACACCCTGTGTCAAGCATCCCCTCTTCCCCAGAGCACTGAAGGGTTTGTTGTCAAGGATCAGGAGAACAAAGGCCTTCCCTGAAGCCTCATTAGAACTGGAACTCTGATCCAGAAGTTGGCTCAGCCTCCTGCACTGACCAATGTTTTAATAGCTTCCTCCTCTGTGATCAGGTTCTGTCAGCACAGATGGCAGGCCTGCCACCTGGAGGGTTTCTCCTGGACTTCTCCCTGGGGTTCCTGCTGCAGGGGAAGGCTGAGGGAGGACTCCTGAGCTTGCATCTTGCCCTGGCTTCAGGGTGGGCAGACTGCAAGACAGCTGATTTCAAACGGAGCATGCAAAGCTGTGGTCGCAGGCTCATGACTGGCAGTTTCTGTTCTTTGGCACTCCGTGATCAGGTTGTGCTCTCTGACTCAGTCCCACATGCAGCAGCTCTCGGGGTGTTCCCGTGGCCTTTTCTAATGAGCAGTTCTGCCCCCAGCAGCCTCAGCCTCTCTGCCAGTTCCTCAAGCTTTGCCCCTGCATGAGTCCCCACACCTGCCTCAGAAGTAATGGAAAATTTGCCCCAAAGCAAGTTAATTCCTCACATTTCCATTGAGATACATATTTAATGTACCTTAAAAATAGAGACTGAAAGTCATTTCCATAGCTAGTTCATGTTCTTGATGGCAAATTTTCTTTTAAATAAGATTTTTACATATGCAGACATGCTTTATTTAGCATGGGACACGTTTTATTCTCACGATGAGCAGATTATGAGTATTCTTGGCTGACCTTCCCTGGCACAACATTGTAGGAAACCAGAGTTAGCTCGGGTCCGGGCATCTGAAAAAACATTCGATTCCAGCCTTTTCTTTAGCATTCTGCTCTTCCAGTCCATCACCACAGTATCTGTGCAATTGAGAAACTGAGAGCTGGGATGACATTTCTGCTGGAAGAAATTTGCTTTTAGCACCCAAGGACACACTGCAAACAATCTCTCAAAACTCTTACTCCACCCCCACCCTCATCCACCCTGCCCCCACCCTCTCAGCTCCCTTTTTTTTTTTTTTTTTTTTTTTTTTTTTTAAGAAACAGCTTGGCTGGACTCCACTTTGTAGATCAGGCTGGCCTTGAACTCACAGAGATCGCCTACCTCTGCCTCCCCAAATCCCAAATACTGGGATTACAGTAGTGTGCCACCATGCCGCCTCAGTTCTCTATCTTAACGTTTGTTGGTCAGGGGAGCTGTTCAAATCTTTGAACGGGTTAGAGATAAGGGCACAGTCTTCCAAAGAGGACAGCTGTCCTAAGAGAAAACACTGTTCTGAAACATTCCTTATAGCTGATCCCTATACTCAGCCCTGTCTGAGAATTGTTCATCTACTAGGTCAGCTCACAGGAGATTACACCACCGATTAGGGGTGTTTGCCTACAAATAACATTTACATTCAAGATAGAACCATCAGGTATAAACAGATACAAAACAGACTGTGTGTAAAAGTTAGATGTATGATTCCCAAAATCAAGATGGTTTTTCAAAACATTTTCTTTTCTGAGTAGCCAAATATGTGCACAAGAGTGTAAAACAGAAAAGAATATGCAAAGTTTCTCTGTAGAGGCAAAAGCTGTTATCAATTTCTTATCTATCTGAGATAGTTGGCACTTTCTCTCTGTGCCCAAAACAAACAGACAAACAGCAACCTGGCAAAGACAACTTGAAAGGAATAAAGGTTTATTTGGGCTCAGTTTCAGAAATTTCGGCTCAAGACCAGCTTAATTTATTGCTAGATGGTTGTAGTGAAGGAAGGTGTGAAAAACCCCAAATGAATTGGCCTCGTGGTGATCAGGAAGGAGAGAGAGAGGGAGCAGAGGAGGAGGCCACTCAAAGGTAGGTCCCCAACAGCCAGCTTCCTCGCTCGGGCACTACCTTCCACATTTTCTGCCTTCTCCTAATTCTAATTATGAATTCACCAATGGATTAATATAACAATTAAGTCAAAGCCTTCAAGATCCGGTCACATCCCCAAAGCCCATCAGCCCATCCCCAAAGCCAGGCCTCTAACATTTGACTAGCCTGTATGATCCTTTCAAGGATCAAACTGGTGAACATATCTAATCTTCAGAGATGGTAGGGTATTAAACACACAATTGTATTCCTTGCCTTTTGCATTTAACAGTTTATCATGGAATTGCTGTAAAACGTTCTGTTACATGATTCACTTTCTTCTTACTGATGAACTTTTGGGTTGTTGGTACTGCTGCTAACTACGAACTGAGCTATGGGATCTTTTACACATATCCTCTTGAGCATGTTCCATTTTGACAGACTACGTTCCTAGAAGTGGGGTTGTTGAGTCAAAGGATAGTGAATTTTACATTGGAGTACATACTATACTGTCATTTCCCTTGGAGACTGCATAAGTTTCTCAGCACGCCTCCCAGTGCCTCCCCTCCACCAAAGTGGAAGCACCAGAGGACAGTCGTGTCCTGACAGTCTCCCTGTCCTACTTGAGTTTATGTTTTTGTGGAGTTGCTTTTAAAATAAACATGTATAAGCTGGGCATGATCGCACACTCCTTTTTAATTCCCAGCACTCAGGATGTAGAGGCAGGCAGGTCTCTGTGAGTTTGAGGCTAGCCTGGTCTACATAGTGAGGACTAGGTCAGCTGGAGCTCTATAGTCAGACCCTGTCTCAAAAATAAATAAATAAAACAGAGAAGTACAACAGAAGGTGAGAGTGCACAGCGTTGTTATCAGGCTCACTCAAATGCTATCCCTCCTCACATTTTTTGGTAGCTGCTGGGGCTCCAACCCAAGGTCTCAGCTTTGCTAAGCACGTGCTCTACTACTGAACTCCTCCCTGCCCATCCTCGGAGTTATTTTACCATCACTTGCTAGTAGAAGTTCTTTTGTGTTTTGTTTTGTTTTGTTTTTTTTTGGGGGGGGGGGCTTTTTTGTTTTCTTTGCTTACGAACTAGAAGGTAAACCTAGGCTATCAGAAAGGATGGCCATCTATAATTTCCACCTAGTACCTGGCAGTAGCTGGCGTGCAGTAAATGTGGCTTGGTGCAAACAGTAGACCTTAAGTAGTCTTGGCACCTCTGGTAACCAAGGACATGAGTTTGCTCTGGGATACTCCAGATCTCTTCAAGACATGTACAGAGCATAGGGCCCGTTCTGCTGACAGTCCACAGGCTTTGGAGAGAAAATAAGATTTATGTCAACTTTAAGGAAAACAGATAGGGCTGGAAGACTCTATTCAGTCCTTTGATTTAGGCCTAAAAAAAAAAAAATTAATTGTATTATCCTTGCCTATGAGCAAAACTAGGTCAACGTGAAATATAAATTACCATTTGAAAAATTGTTTAAAGGACATTTTCTAATGAACTCTAAAGCAGAGGCTTTTGACTTTGGTCTAGAGTGTTGTGTGTGTGGAGAAGGCTCTGAAGGGAAGAATCCACAGTGATTCACTGAAAACAGGTAGTAACAAATGAGTGTTTGTTGAAAGGGTGTTGCTGAATCCTAAGCGTTATTCAGCTGGGTCCTGGGTGTAGCTGGCAGGTTTGGCTAGGCCTAATTAATTGGATTCAGCCATGTGGGAAACTTCAGTAATGACTGAAGTAATAACATTTTGTACCACCCATTCACTGGCCTGGCACCAGGAAGACATGACAGTGTCATCTGAGCTTTCCAGACGTTATATATCCTGAAAGATACAGGGACAGCAACTAAGTTTTCCCACTGGAAAATATTCCTCAATCTTAATTAATTAAATATATGAAGGAAGTTCCTCTTTATTGCCAGAGAACATGTGTTCCTCAGAAGTCTGCTGTTCACTTCCTGTGGAGAATTAGATGTGGGCTTTTATTCGTGAGTGACATGCCTTAGACCCATCTCATTCATCTCATCATGGTCACCTTTGCTGGTTCTTTAATAGAGATAATAATGTTTTCTCAAGCTTATGTAACATGCTTTGACATGGCAGCTTTGGAAGCTGAGCAACAACCACACCAGCTAGGTGGCTGTTTCCAAGCACCCCTACTGAGAGATTCTCAAGTCACTCTAGGGCGTAGCCATCCAGATCTGAAGGTTAAGGAAAGAGCAGCCAGCAAAGGCCTATCTGCATGATAGCCTCAGATGTCAGCTCTCTGCTCCTCCCTGATTGGGCATACACTAGAGTGCAGGAGATCATGGGAACTTCTTAGTGGCCTTTGCCAGCTTTGACCTCAGCAACCCGGGGACCCATGTGAAAGGGCAGACATGCAGCAGCTGGGTCCACAGGACTTTTCTGCTTCTGTCAATGATTCTTGGTAGGCCCAGACTCTTCCTAGAAACTCCCCAGTATTAACAATGAGAAAGGATTGAGCCTTCTCCTGAAGAGTGATGCAAAATTCTAGATCCTTCAGACCTGGGCACTTGAGCAAGTATTTCTCCAAACCTGGAAAACAAACAAAACAATGTGGAAATGGGGTGAACCAGTACATTCTAAAGGCAACATGTGATCTCCATAATTGAAACCCAAAGTTGATCTGGGTGGTTACAGATACTTCTCTCTTTTATAACATAGTTTTTTGGACCTTTTATAAAATACATTTCAAGGAAAAATGGGCGAGGTACTTGTGATTACAAAATGTACTAGATGTTGAAAAGAGGCAGTGCTGGAATTCTGTCCCACTTGAGGTCTCCCAACACCTCCTTGTAGGTTTGCAAACACGTAGCTGGATGTGGTGACCCCTGCCTGTCATCCCACTCCTGGGAAGCTTAGGAAAGGAGGCCAGCCTGACCTCTAGGGTGAAACTCTCATTCCCTGAAGAACACAAAATAAAGCTGTGTTTTGAAATATTTATAAATTCATCTATTTGCCTTCAGTTTTCTGGAAGCATCACCCTAAGTAACTTATTTGTGCAGGGAGAAAGACAAGAGGGGAACACAGCCTGATAAGGGGATGGGAACACTTATTATGAATGCCACAGGATCCACCAAGACTTTTTCCACCTCCAAACCCTCTATCTAGGAGATCTGTCCCTTCCAAAGGCTCATTTCGACAAGCCTAACTTAGAGACTTAACAATGCCAGCCTCTCAGACGGATGGCTCACAGGAATCTGTGTGTCTGCCCAGCTTGTGTTGTAGGTCCACAGATGAGGACATGGCTTTTTCTGCTCCTCAGTGTAACTGTTCTGTCTAGGCCCAGTGGGCAGCCAGCTGGCTGTAGCTATCTGCTAAACCTGAGGTGAAGCTGCGTTAGAAAAGCCACTGTGAGATGGTCAAGAGATCCGATGCTTTATTCCATCTGAGGGAGCAGGAGCGAAGCATCTGGCCCCAGGTGCTTGTGAGTCCTTGTGTGTAGAGCACAGAGATCATTATAGAAGCAGGCACCTGTGCTCTCTTTGGAAAGGCTCAATCACAAGCCTATTTGCTTTTTAATTTTGGTGCATTAATTTATCTAGACAGACTCTCCCTGGGTAGTCCAGGATGACCTGGAACTTGCAATTGTCCTGCTTCACCCTCCCAAGTTTAAAGGCATATGCCACCATCTTCAGCAACAAAATTCTTTTTAAATGGCCTTCAAGACTCACAAAGGTGTCAGGCAGGCACAGCTCCAATGTAAGTTCCAATGATTGAGAACCTAGCAAAGATTTATTTACCATTCAGCTAGCACTTATGGAGTCTCTAGTATATACCAAGCACCAATGTCGGTACTGGGCTACAGCAGCCAAGAAACATTCCACTCATGAAGCATCTGCCCTCAGGAAGCTTCCATCGCTGGCTCTCAGTAACCCCAACACAGAATCAAAGGCCTTGGCAAGCTAAGGTGTTACACTCGGTCAGTGCTACATTCAGTAAACGTGCAGCAAAGCAGCTTGCAAGATGGTCCATTTTGGGTATGCTACCCAGAGCACAAGCCACAGGTCCAGGCTTGAGATCAGAGGAGCCGGAGCCTAGCCAGAGTGCTCCTGGACTCTGTGACTAACGCACTTGCTGTGTGGCCCTTGACCGCCACCTGCCTCTCTGTACCCTCGTCATCTTTGACAAGGCAGGAGTGTGACATTGTGTGCCTATCTCCAAGGGAAGTGTGTGGACCAGTGTTTGGAAAGTCTATATCAGCTGAAAAGGCAAATAGCTGCACTGAGATGTGTGGCCTGCCCTGGCACAGCTCACTCCCTCCTGGCCTTTCAGGACACCCATGTGTAAACTAACCCGATGCCAGGTCAATGCCGGCTCTACAAAGGCACACACAGGCTAAGAGGAGCCAGAGAGAAACAGCCCAGGGCTTTGGGAGAGGACCCCTTTTCTCTGGCTCCTCATTTTAATCTTTTCAAGCAAATGTGGGCAGTCTCCAGGACTGGTGGGTGTCATTCAGACAGAAGGAATAAGACATTTCCTGTGGCTGGCATTTATTTTCTAAGGTGCTGTAAGCAGCCAGTGACTGTGGGCATTTTTCCAGGTTCTTCAGGTGGAAGTCAGACGACCCTTACAGAATCATTCGATATGGTACCATTCAGCGCTTCAGTAGCGGAAGGCGCCCTGGGCTCTGATCATATCGGCATCTGCCAACAATCTTTTCTTTTCTTTTTTTGTTTTTTGAGACAGGGTTTCTCTTTGTAGCCTTAGTAGGCTCGCTTAGCAGTCCAGGCTTGCCCTGAACTCAGAGATCCGCCTGCATCTGTGATCCTGAGTGCTGGGATTACAGGCGTGCACCACAGAGGTAGAATTTGATTTCTTAGTTTTTGACTCCCATTTGTCTTAAGCTTTTCTGCATTTGGGATATTTTGATGTGATGATTTATAAAGAATAAAGCAACTTCAGAACAGAAAAGAGAAGGCCATGCATGGTCCCATTACATTAATAAAGATGCAGAAGAAAACAACGTAAGGTCAAGACAAGCAGAGTCCTGAAGGCTATTAGAGCAAAGTGTGAGAAAAAAAAAAATTCAGGGATTCTTGTTATATAATTTCTTTATAATTTGACCAAAAAAAAAAAAAAATCCAGTCTTTGTTCAGTAATAAAAGAATTTAAGATTTACTTTTATGTTCATGTGTGCGTGTGTGTGTGTGTGTGTGTGTGTGTGTGTGTGTGTGTGTGTGTGTGTCTAGGCCATATGCAGAGGCCGGAGGAGGCCGGAAGAGGGTGTTGGATACTGAAACTGGAGTTACAGTTTCATAGTTATGAGCCATGAAGCAGGTGCTGGCATCTAAACTCTCATCCTATCTATACTGGAGCAAGCAGAACCCTTGACTGCTCATCCATCTTTCTGCCCCAACTTTAAAAACAGACAAACAAACAGTTTATAAGGCATCCTCTCTCAGAAGGTATGAGAAATGTATCCTAAGAAGGTATAACATCCAGCCAGTGGCTCAGGTGGCACAGCGACTATCTCACACTTAGGAGAACCCCCAGCCCTTCTCCAATGATGTGTAAACAGGGCTGATGGCTCACAATTGTTATCCCAGCACTCAGGTAGAGGCAGGAGGGGGAGAAGTTGAAGACAAGGCCATCTGCCCCAGGGGTTAGTAACCCTGTCTCAAAAACACACAAACAACATCAACAACAACCCCCTAAAGACATCCTAGCTAAGGAGGAAATGCTTTCGGTTTCACTGACAACAAATTAAGAGCTGGACCCTGTCTAAATTGTGGACAACTGTCCACCCCTCCTGCCTTTCCTCCTGTTATCTTCCCTTCTCATTAACAAGTTAGTGATGTTTTTTGAAAATGGGCAGCTTTTTAAATTTCTCTACTCTCTGAGGTGTCCCAAGTCTGGAATGTCTAAGGTGCCACATACCTAGAATTCTGAAAAGTAACCAAACAGAATTATAGCAAGGCCTTAGGAGACAAGCTGTAGCACTTTGAAGGTCCAGGACACTGTTCCAGGGATCATAGACTCCTAGGAGGTGTCAGTGGGCAGCCGAGAGACCCAGTAGAAATGTAAGTGACAGTAACTGACAGGCAGTGCTCTAGGTTAGTTCTGCAATAAGTGGACTAACTCTGTGGGAAAGAGCCCCTTCTAGAAGGCCTGGCAGGAGTCAGCAGTGGAATTACCTGTGCAGAGCATTTTATGACCAGGTGCGTGGCCGCACGTGGAATTTCTCAGAGGCTTCCTGGCAAATTCCAAAGGTGAGAGGGATCAGAACTGCAAAACCACATGCTGCTGCTGCTGTCTGACCCAGCCTCTGTCCTCAGTCCATCCCAGGCCTCTTGTGACTCCTTGGATGGGTCTCTCGGAATCCACAGCCTTTTCCTGGCACTGAATGTTTCCAGGAGCCATCTGACCTTGCATTTACCCTGATTCCTACTGAGCCCGTTTAGCATTTTTGCTCGTTCATATGTGCATTTTGTGCTGACCTCTCAGGACTGGATACATTGATTCTTCCTCTCTCAGCTGCTTAGAGTTCTTTCTCGAAGTGGGGACCTGGTGAGATTTCTGCATCCACTTTGGCATGCCTACTGATAGTGTCACTATGCAGGTCTTATTCAGGACTTCCTGGGTGAGCTCCGTTGTCGCATATAGAAGACACTGTCTTAGAGTAGACACCCTGGTCCCCTGGTGCTTCCGCTCTTTTCTGCACCCTTTTCCTCCGTGCTCCTTGGACCTTAGATGTAAGGTTGTGTTGTAAGTGAGTCAAGTAGGTTTGAGCACCCACAGTAAGTTATCCTTTTCAGTTTGACCAGTTGTGGGTCTCTGCAACAGTCTGCTGTAAGAAGAAGCTTCCTTGACAAAGGAGGAGAGCTATGTTTATCTGTGGATAAGAAGATAATTATTTAAAGTACCGTTAGGGCCAGAAGGGGTCTACACTTGGGAGGCAAAGGCAGGTACTACACACTCCTGGTCAGTCAGGGCTACCAGTGAGGCCGTGTCTCCAAAAGACTAAACAAACAAAAAGAAGAAAAAGAAAGAATACAGTTGGGACGAACACTGTTCAGGTAAGTGGCAGTAATGGTTCCTTGTCCTGCCTTCTACTATAGAACTTAGAATTACACTGGAGCTTGGTTTTATTTATTTTTCTTCACAAAGTGGTCCTGTCTCCAAAACGCAAGACAACAACAAAACCAAACATAGCAAAACAACCTAAGCAGCAGCAGCAACAACAAAGGTGATCATTAACTAAGGGCTGGTGAGACATTCTATGTGCTGGGACCAGGGCCGTTTCCTTATTAGGAGAATCTGTTTTCAGTTCCTGTCATCTTATGAATAAATAAACCGAGGAGCTGTGAGTTTTCCCTGGGGTTGTTTTGTACCTCAGTGAGAGTGATGATTTAAGAGCTGTGAGCCTTAGCAGGCAGAGGACTCTGTCAACTAAGTGTGCCAAGGTGTACATGAAAAGCTTCCGTGCTCCCCTGGGGCCCACCCCTTCCCTCAGGGTAGCTGCAGGATTTCTGTCCCCTTGGTACTTACCCACCGGAAGGGGTGACCTGCACACTGATCTGCACTCACCAGATGTGGTAGCCAAGGGCAGGTAGGGCCTCAGTCTGCTCACACTGCCCCTGGGCTCACACAGCAGGCTCTGCTCTCTTTAAAGACATGTCTGTTAGCCAGGTATAGTGGAGAACGCCTTCAATTCCAGCACTGGGGAGGCAGAGGCAGGAGGGTCTCTGTGAGCTGTAGGCCAGCCTGGTCTACATAGGGAGTTCCAGGACAGCAAAAGCTATACAGTGAGTGAGACCCTGTCTCTGGGAGACAGAGAGAAAGAGAGGAAGGAAGGAAGGAAGGAAGGAAGGAAGGAAGGAAGGAAGGAAGGAAGGAAGGAAGGAGGGAGGGAGGGAGGGAGGAAGGAAGGAAGGAAGGAAGGAAGGAAGGAAGGAAGGAGGAAAGAAAAGATGGAAGGAAAGAAAATAAAAGAATACACACTACTGGACTTGTAGTTGACCTCAGCGTCATTGACATGTTATCATAGCTACTCTGAGCAAACCAGCCCAAGGGGTGGACACACTTGTGGACATATCACACAGACCTAAGGGGCTGAGATGACACGAGTTCTGGACAAGCAGAGAGTTGACAAGGTAAAAGCCAGCACTATTTACAGTTTGCTGTTAAGCATTTTCCCTTTCTGGTAACAAGATAGCATCATTTCCCAAGAGATTTAAAATTATAAAACATGGATCACCACGGGAATCATTACATTTCTCACCACTTAAATAAAGTGAACAAAATTACACAAAGGCGAGGCAGTTGGTGTGTGTGTGTGTGTGTGTGTGTGTGTGTGTGTGTGTGTGTGGTGCTAGTCTACTTTTTTATATTTTTATGCCTGTTTGAAAACATTTAAATCAATGTTTTTTGAAAGGCTCCGAACATCCATATGGAATGATATTGGTTCATTTTCAGTTCATCTGGAATGAAGAATTACCATCTTTATTCAGCTTACTATTAAGAATAATCATCAAGCCAGGTGGAGTGTCCCATGCACACTACCATAAAGCAGAGGATAACTGAGAGTTTGGGTCTAGCTTGGATATATAATGAGTATCAGGCTAGCCAGGGCTACAGAGCAAGGTCCTGAATCAAGCAAACAAACAAACAGAAACATTTGAAAACCCCAAAAGAACAACAAAAGTAATGATTATTAATTAAGGGCTTAGTAAAGAAAAACTCTTCGTGCCAGGCCTTTATATGCATGATTTCTAAAGCTCACAACAGCCCAGCAAAAAATGGGACAATGAATACAATTATAGATGAGCCTCACAGAGACCAAATGATTAGCATCTTGTCTACTAGGAGTTGAGAATGGAACCCAGAGCTCTTCCCGTAGGAAGCACAACTTCAAACAACTAGGCCCATGCTGCTGTTAGTGGAGGGGAGTGAATAGCCTCACAGATCGGTGATTTCCCCAGCTCCACGGATCCAGAGGTAACGTGGACCATGGACTTCTGGGTCCATCGCCTGAAGAGCAAACCTGGAGGCTCTGTCCTCAGGAGGTTCTCTAGGGCTCCTTGAATTGCTAGTTCTTACATGATCCTTCCAGGAGCAGCAGTTGCTTCCTTCCACGTTGCCTTTACCAATGATGACCTCTGGATGGCATGAAATAGCGCAGTATCACAAATACCTCATCTTCCCTTTGTAGTTCATTATCACGTAACTTTTCTCCTTTTGTCCTAAGAACACGTAACATCTGCCTCCTGAAAGTCACTAATGGTGGGAAAGGTTGCAGAAAAGGACAGAGAGATTCAATGTCCCCTTCCAATTTCTGTGTACGCATAAGATCTGAAATAGTCATCCCTCTAAAAGATAACATCATGCCTTCTACTCCTAGAGAAGACTGGAATCCATAGCCAGCTCTGGTTTTCACAGGCCAATATGTGGAATTCTTCCCCTCTCAGCCTTGTGCTTGCTGGGTGGAAGCAAGGGTCACTCCCAGACTGGAAAGAATGAAGGACTCCTTAGAGTTGCCAAGGGTCAAAACTGAAACATTTTTACATTGTGGGTCTAGGTTCCAAAAAAACCATGAAATTCCAGAAAGAACAATGGATGCCTTAGAGTCTCTCACGGTCAAAACTGAAACATTTCACATCATGGTCTGAATTCCAGAAAACCATGAAGTTCCAGAGCTCTTTGGAGACACTGACATTCAAAGGGGCATAAATTACCCTGGCATCATTTCAGGCCTGGAGGGACATGTATTGGGTTGTGAAAATTTTACACGACGAACTCACCAGACCCTACCCCCACACCGTAAATATACATACCACACACACTATCTATGAAAAGTACATAATCTCAGCAGTTCCTGACAGTCTGGAGAGACATTTATCTTTCACAGTGCTACATCCACCCCCTGCTGAGAGGGAGTGGGATCCAGAAAGACCTCTTAACACATCATCCTAAGAGAAAACATGCCAAAGTTTTCCCATTTGATTGCTTGTCAAGGCTAAGAAAACATCCAAACTGGGGCAGAGGAGAGCAAACGAGGTCCGTGCTGACCTCAAGTCCAAAGATGATGCTTTCTTTTTTTCCTCTTCAAAGAAAGACTTTTTTGAATGTGTCTTTATGGTCTGGAGTCAGGGATGAGGGTGGTTGTAGCATGTGGCGCCCCAAAGTAGCATAGGCCTGTGTCTCTCCGTCCAGACTTCCTCGTGGGCCAGAGAAATGCACTGTGGGAGTCAGACACATGGAGGCAATGCCCAGGTTCCACTATCAGCAATCACCCGAGAAAAGCTGCTGTCACCGTCTGTCACAGACTTCCTCCCTTGGGCACCACAGGACTCGTAAAACACCCACTAGAGATAGCTGTTCCAATAGCAACCTCAGAACCACTTATATGACCTTTGAGGCCTAGAGTAGAGTGCAGACTCTTGCAGGGAGACACCCCAAAGCACATGACTGATATGCCTGCTCATAGGATAAGGTAGTTTTTTGGTAGTTTGTTTTGTTTTTTGAGACAGGGTCTCTCTCTATGTAGCCCTGGCTGCCCTGGAACTTGCTATGTAGTCCAAATGGGCTTCTAAACCTACAGAGATCTACCTGCTTCTGCCTCCTGAGTTCTGAGGTCGGAAGCATGCACCACCATGCCCAGCCTAAGGTAGATTCTGTGAGTGAATGTGCCGCTTACTCTCCTACGCTCTAAAAAGCCCACTGTGAACTGCTTTGGGTGAAAGCATTTATAAACTGCTTTCAACTAACCTGCTTTATTAAACAGATGTGACATATGCTACAGTGCTTTCTTTTGTTGTTGTTGCTGGTGTGTGTGTGTTTGTGTGTAGGCATGTACCTGTATGCATGAATGTACTTAATATGTGTGGGCACGCATGCCACAGAGTGCCATGTGAGTTCCAGGAATTGCAGGAAGGTTCCCAGGCTTGTGCATCTTCAGTCACTGGGGCATCTCACCGATCCAAGAACCCTTTCCTTAGTAACGGGATGTCACCCCTTAAGCTTCACATTTCTCAGCTATACAATGAAGGAGACAATAGACTTGACTGTAAACACGTCAGGATTGCGCAAGGTATAGCATGTAAGTTGTGGAGCACCACGCCTCACCCACTGCCAGTGTTAAATACGTAGCTGCAACAACCCGGACACAGCTGCTGCCTTAGCAAGTCAAACCACCGGACAGCTTTGCTGGCCACACAGGGACGCTCTCCAGCCGTGTCCTACTGAATCCTAACTCCGACACTTGCTTTTTTATCCAGTGGATTAAGAAATCAAACACACGTAGAACTACATATCCATACATGCTCCGTTGAAATCAGTTCAAGTAAGCGCTTAATGCATAGCTGTGTCATGTCCTAGAGGAAGTCAACAGGTGGACAAGCCCTGTGAGAGCCTCCTGCAGAGCCAGCACTGACCACCCAGCTAACAGGTGCCAGTGGCAGTGACTCTCCTGGAAAGTGGGGCCTCAGCCCACCCATCCTCCAGATGACATCTTACCAACCTCATCAAAATACCTATCTGGGAGCTGGAGAGATGGCTCAGAGGTTAAGCTCTTCCAGAGGTCCTGGGTTCGATTTCCAGCACGCACATGGTAGCTCACAACCATCTATAATGAGATCTGGCGCAGAAAGAACATTGTATACATGATAAATAAACGAATCTTCAAACAAACAAAATACCTACGTGGGATGATCCTACTAAGCTGACCCTCTCTGAGACGCCGTGTAAGAGAACAAATAAACTAGGAAGCTGGGAGTGATTTGGTACCACACAGCTAGCAGACCTCTGCTGTGTCTCCTTCCCGGCCCCCGGTGGGAGAACGGGAGGCCATGACGCATTCTGCCCAGACTCTTCCTTCCTACCGCGTGCCATCGCCTTGCTGAGCAGCGCTGTCACCTCTATAGGCTGGTACTTGGAAATGTTTGTACTCTGGACTGAAGAGTGTGCCTTCAGAGAAATGTGACTTAGCTTTAGCAGGGCTTTAGCCCAGCTCTCTCATTTGTCAGTGAGTAGCTCTTTCAGTTTTTCCCTTCGGTCCTTCCTCCCACTTTTCCCTGAGGACTCAGACATGGGCCCCGGGCTGATTTAATTTAGCCACCCTTCAGACAAGCCTGAAGACTTCCTGTCTCACGTGGGACCCACCATCTTGCAAGTGACACATTGCTGCGGGCAAAGCCTGCACCTCAGGGAGGGAAAGGGTACGGAACCTATCTAGACCAAGCTTCCACAGGCCTCTTGCTGCTTAGGACTGTACGAAGCACAAAGCTGTATCATGGCAACTCAGAGGGGTCCAAGTATGAAATCGCTACCCGCCAACTTGCAGCGTGGGTGACAACCCCACACATCACGGGAATGCCCTTCCCCCTTCTTTCACTCTTCTTGCCCTGTTAGATGCTAAACTGCTGTCTGTCCACATTAATGTGGCTGTTGCAACAGGAAGAAGCAGCGGGCCAGAAGGCCACCCCGTTCTCCCCCACGCCCCAACATGGGAGATCTGGCTCAGTGGACCTTTTGGGCTACCTTTCAGCAGAGGGGGTAACCACACAGCCTCTCCTCCTGGGTTCCTCCGCTAATGGGCGTCGCCTTGGATGGATCCTGACAAAGCTGTGAAGACCAGCTCTTTCTCTTGCCACCTCCCATGCCCCAGTTCACTTTTTCATGCTGGGGGGGGGGGAGATTGGGGCCACAGGGGAGACCTGCATGCCCACAGCTCAGGCAGCTGGGGAGGGGAGAGCAAGGTGCTCCCCTTCCTGAAGGAATTCAGGAATTCACAGCAGGAGAGGACAGGGTGGGGGTAGGGAGTGCTTAGGAAGGACCCTCTTAAACTGACCCCTGCTGAAAACTATGGGGTGCCTTTCTGGTTTTCCCCATAAGGAAGGAGCAGGGACAAAGGGGACCACAGTCAAGGTGGCATGCTTGACCGTGAAGTAATGCTTAGGAAATGTTCTTCCTTTTCCTCCTCCCCCTTTCCTCTCTCCCCTTCCTCTCCCCTCCTTTCCCATCCCTCTGCTTTTCTTTTCTATTTATTTTCCCCTCCTTTCCTTTCTCCATCTCAGCACAGCCCAGGCTGGCTTGAAATTGCCTGTGTAAACCAGGGTGGCCTCAAACTCTCAGTAACTCTTCTGCCTCACCCTCCTAAGCACTGGGATTACAGCGGTGAAGCCACCTCGGCAACACTTCTTTTTTTTTTTTTTTTTTTTTTTTTGGGAGGGGGGCACTCCAGGATGTTAAAACAGCAAGAATACTTACTCATTCCCCACGTCCCCTCCCATGTGGTTCTGGCTGTCATGGGCAGGACTGTGGCTCCTCTGCAATGTGGTGCTTCTAGGACGGCAGGCAGGGATGGCAAGGCTTTTCCAAACACTGGAACACAGATGCTAGTGAGGGGCTATCTCCTTGCCTTTTCAGGAACTGTCACTGTTAGCATAGGGTTGCCTAGTAACCTAGGATGTCATCATGTGTCACCAGCCAGGTGTGTGGCAGATGCCCCTGGCAGACACGGTTCAGCTGCTCAGGAGCTATAAATGGACCTCTGCTTCTTTCCTCTCTCCCTTCCTCTTCCTCTCTTGCCCCTCTCCTGTTCTCTCCCCCTTCTCTGTCGGGGCTCCCCTATCCCTATCTCTTTTTCTATAGACCCAGGCCCTAACTCTCTTCTGCTTCCCTTCCCCCAAATAAACTTTTTCATATAATGTACGTTGTGGCATCATTTTAAAAATAATAACAACCACTCTGTCCTGGGGCTCTTATAGTGGGCACAGGCTGCCTGCTTCCTTGTTATTCCAGGCTCCATGGCTCTCATGAAGCTGGCCCTTGCCAGTGGGCTGATAATGGGAAGAGTCCCAGCTACCTTCTTGAGATCAAGATGCCATTTGCAGGTTGCATGCTGGCTCAGGAACCAGAAATAGCCCAATGTCTTCGGGGAAACAAACCCTGAGAGTGAGGCCTGAGGACAGAGGGGAAGGCTGGGCACTGGGCACTAGGCTCAGACCACTGCCACAGAGGTGGTTAGAGCTGATAGGTCACAGTATTCTTGCAGGCAGATGGTTCTGTAGTCACAGTCTCTGGCAAGCCATTCTCAGTAACCTGGACATTTCCTCTTGTACACAGACAGAAACCTTGCAGAAGCCAAGACCCTGGGAACAGTGGCTCAGAGCAGGTAGCCCTCTACTTGCTTCTCCTTGACCCAAACAAATAGCATCATCTCCACATAGCAACCCTACCTGTGAAGAGGATGGCCTTCTCTCCTCTCCTACCTGCGTTCCTCACCTTCCTTTCTGTTGTAAACTCAGGATAAGGAGACAATTTCACTCCATAGCTCCCCCTCCCAGGGAAACCTTCTGCATTAATTCCAAGGTGACATTTCTTTCACTAAACAATAGGAAAGGAAAATATGTATATTCAAGTTTAATCCCCAGAACATGGCTCTGAGAACCTGCTCCCTGTGCATTTGAGGGAGAGAAAGGAATGCCATGGCTCTTTATTGGTTATCTGAATGTGGCTTTTGACAGTCTTTTCTCTGCCTGAATATGTCCCACTTCTTAATACCGTCTACTGCCGCATACCTGCATTATCTTTTAATTAGGATAATTTAATTCTCCTTTAATTAGGCCAAATTACTCCCTGGCAGGTGAAAGATTCCTATAAGCAACATCCTCCGCAAAGAAGATTAAGACTTCTTTAAACTGTCTGGATTCTGAAGGTCGTGTGTCCAACCTGCAGCCTGTGGCCCTGCACAGCCTCAGAGAGCTAAGAACACAGCCTAACACACAAGCATCAACTTGCTTAAAACCCAAGATCCTTACGAGCTCACAGTTCTCTGTGTGAGCTTCGTGGATGAAAACATGGAATTGCTGTGTCAGAGTTTGGACATGACAACTATTATAAAACATGATGGCCAACTCTCATTTTCCCTTTCTTTTTCCCTTTACCCTCTCCCTTCCCCCCCCCCCTCTCTTCTTTATCCTCTGTGTGAGTGTATGTGTTCACTGGTTCTGTTTTTCTTTCTTTTTAAAATATGCACTGTGTGAGTCAGAACAAGATCAGGGGATGTAGAAAAAAAAAAGCATATTTTTTGTCTTTTCCCATAGGCAGCACCAAAAAATTATTTCCACATAGTAAATGTTTATATTCCCTGAGTGCTTGAAGCTCTCCAGCACTGGGACCCATCGTGAAGGCAGGAATATGTCAATCATGGTCACAGGAGTAGGATGCTAAATTGGTTCAGTGCCCATGAGTGTGGGTGTGGGTGGGTCGGGAGAACACTCCTGGACATGTCTTACCCCCATCCCTCCATCAGCAGTCAACTTTCTCTGCAGCAGAAGCCTCTTTGTGTGTCTGCTAGGACATGGCACTCGAGGAATTTTGAGCTTTGCCTGCCTACAGATGACCTCTGGCCCAACCTGAGGTTATTTGCTGTTGCTGCCTGATTTCTGACCCTCCGCTGCACTCTTTTAAATAAAGACGATATTGTTAGAATCACCACACAAACGAAAGCCACTGGGAAAAGAGGAGAAAGTGCATTTGGGAAGAGAGAGAAAACAAATGTTGGGATTGAAAAGGACCCAGAACCTATGAGGTCCAGTGGTTCACAAAAGCCTCTTTAGCTTGGATGGGATACACTGCTGTCTGAAAATGACCAGTACAAGGTGGTCTCCCAGTTTGTGAATCACTGCAAATGTAGCCATTTCTACAAGTCTAGAGGAGGGGCATGTCTCTTCCATGTCTATGACCATGTTAACAGCACAGATAGAACACAAGTTGCCTCTAAGTATGGGCCCATTTCTCCTCCAAGTACAACTTAAAAATTCTACACTGTGCTGAGGAGGAAAGGGTGTTTCAACATGATAATGAAAGTGAAACTAGTGATAAAAACTCAGTGTGAAAATGAAAAGGTGTCTTGTGGCTGAGCTGGGCGCAGACAGGGCCCGGTTACCCAGAATATTTCATTTTCCTCAACACCAAGGCTCAAAAGCACCCAGAGTGAGGCGAGGCCCACTGACACAAACAGGCGGAGGTCTGGGGAATTCGGACTCTGGTGTGTCTACTGCTTCTCGCTTCTTCCCGGTCCAGGTGCAGTGTGGACCCGACTTCAGACTCAAGTTCACTCTGAAGATTCCTAGGCCAAGAGCCCAGGAGATGAGACTACCCCTTTCCGCCACACAAGGGAGGTGGGAAGGTATACTGCAGCTGTTTTCTACAAAAGCAGAACTGAATAGAACACAACAAAAACAAGCCCCAAAGGGAAAGAACAACTGAAGTTCTGTGTGTGGGGAAAAACAGACGCAGGGTTAGAACCCAGAGCCCTTTGTCTGACGATCTGGGCTGCCTCCTCCGGCACATCAACGTCTTAACTTCTTTTAGACACTGCTTTTTTCTCACAACCTTGTAGCAAAGCAGAAGGCATCATTCTTCAGAGTGAGGTCATGTTGATCCTGTGGGTTGTCTCTCTTGCTCCGGAGTGTTTAAGGGATCTGTTCAGTAAACAGGGCCATGGCAGCATGACCAGCCTTTTCCCTACTTTGAGTCAACCCCAAGCTTTGCTGCTAATGAAGGACAGGATCTGCTTCAAAAAAACCCAACAACAACAACAACAAAACTTCACCCTTCAGTGAG